TATTGATAAATATAACCCATATAAACAAAAGCTCTTTTGGGGTCCTCCATAATTTTTAAAAATGGGAAGGGGCCCTGAGAGAAAAAAGTTGAAGAAACACTGCTTTAGAAAGATAGAAAGAAGAACCATATTGCTCGCGCTGTCATGTGAGAACTAGTCAAAGCCCCATATAATAAGAGGTAGTGCATCATATTAATTACACATAACTAACCCAGCAGAAATCATAGCAAATAATAGAAACAAAGAAATTCTTTGCTAATGTAGTGGCACTCCTTGCCCTCTCCTGTTTTGGGAAGAACAGCTTCTTCCAAATGAGTTTGTTAAAAAAAAAAAAAAAGTCTAAAACAAGATCCAATGCTCCAGTCAGACCACAAGATACCACTGCTCAGTTACAAATTCTTCATAAAACAAACTAGAAATTGGTGATGATGATGATATTGATGATGACAACAAAGAAGAGGAAGAGGAAGAGGAAGAGGAAGAAGAAGAAGAAGAAGAAGAAGAAGAAGAAACAACAAGAAGAAGAAGAAGAAGAAGAAGAAGAAACAACATATTCATTCCCAGTCAGAAATATTATAATTTTTTGGTCTGTTTTGCTTTTTTTTTTTTTCCTCCAATTCCTTTAAGTATGTGTATATAGAAGAAGAAGAAGAAGAAGAAGAAGAAGAAGAAGAAGAAGAAGAAGAAGAAACAACATATTCATTCCCAGTCAGAAATATTATAATTTTTTGGTCTGTTTTGCTTTTTTTTTTTTTCCTCCAATTCCTTTAAGTATGTGTATATATAGCAAATCTGGAGAATGACACAGTGGCCAACAGATTGGAAAAGATCAATCTACATTCCAATACTAAAAAAGGGGACTTAACAGAGTGTGCAGACTATCGTACAATATCCTTAATTTCACATCCTAGCAAAATAAGGATCATCCAACACAGATTAGAGCCCTACATGGAAAAAGAGATGCCAGATGTTCAAGCTGGCTTTAGAAAAGGCCAAGGAACATGAGACATTATTGCTGATGCATGCTGGTTATTTGAGAAAGCCAAAGAATACCCCCTAAAAAAGTCACTACGTGCTTCATTGATTACAGAAAGGCCTTTCATTGTGTTGATCACATCAAGCTGTGGAAATGAATATCCCAGAACATCATGTTGTCCTCATGAGAAACATATACAGGTCAGAAAGCCGCAGTACGGACAGAACATGGTGAAACAAACTGGCTCCAGTTGGCAAAGGAATGCAAGAAGGCTGTATATTCTAAATAAATCTAAATAAATAAATAAATACCTCATTTATTCAACCTATATGATGAACATATGTTAAGGGAAGTTAGAAGAAGACGTTGAGCATGATTTTAAAATTGGAAGAAGAAACATCAATAACCTGTGCTATGCTGATGACACTACCCTGATAGCCAAAAAAGCAAAGGATCTGCAAGCTCTAGTAATAAAAGTTAAGGAGCAAAGTGAAAAAAATGGGACTAAAATTAAATATAAAGAAGATCAAATTAATGACAAAAGGTAAAACAACCAGCCTTAGAATTGGCAATGAAGTGGTGGCTAGCTTCTGCCTTTTAGGATCAGCCATCAACAGTAAAAGAATAAGCAGTCAAGAAATACACTGCAGAGTAGCACTTAGTACAGCAGCCATGAAGGCCCTGGAAAAAATATTCAAATGTCATGATGTGTTTATACTTACAAAGATCAGAATCATGCGAGCCATGGTATTCCCTGTGATGCTCTATGAAAGCAAAAGTTGGGCTTTGAAGAAGCAGGATATGAAGAGTATTGATGCTTTTGAACGCTGATGTTGGAGAAGACTTCTGGGAAAACTTTGAAGACCCAAAAAAAAAAAAAAAACCAAATCAATATATCATCGAACAAATCAACCCAGAATTCTCATTCGAGGCACAAATGACCAGGCTCAAATTATCCTACTTCAGACACATTATGCGAAGACCCAGCTCTCTGGAAAAGGCTTTAATGCTGGGAAAGGTGGAAGGAAAGAGAAGAAGAGGACAACCAGCAGCAAGCTGGATGGACTCAGTTACAATGGCTATGTTGGAAGACTTGAAAGACCAGGTTAGGGACAGATCATCATAGGGAAAATCTACCTATGTGGTTGTTAGGCTTTGTGCCTAAGGCAGGATTAGAATTCATGGTCTCCTGGTTTCTAGCCTGATGCTTTAACCGCTACACCAAACTGGTTCTCTGAGTTTTGTATTTAGTTAATTTAAAAAAGAGAAAAAAAGAAATATCGATGAACAAAAGTTGACATCAAGCATTCAACTTCCTATTATTGTCCAGAAAAAAAGATACAGAACACACATAGCAAATAAAAATACAGATTATTCAGGATTGTGCAGCATCTGTTAGAATATAATGAATCCAGTTTCAGATCTTTATCTTAGTGATGTTCAATGAACTATGAGCTTCAGTTTCTTCCCCATTGATGTTACCATTTCATGGTGCTTTTTTTTTTTTTAAAAAAAGTCAAATAGCTGTATGTAGGACTTCATAATCATACAAGAATACAGATTTTAAATAATATGATAATTAGCAGCTGCATATAACTCAACAGTACAGGGAAATCATAATCACTGAAGTAGCTGTTATCAGTGTCCTTTGAAGGTAAAAAAGGAATATAGAATGAAAAATTGCATCAGGAGAAGAGTGTGATGCATGTCAGGTAACTGGGCCAGAGTGGTCTTGCAGGAAATGCTAGAGTGCTGTGACATCAGAAATCTTTGATCAGATCCCCTGACAGCTTTTTGCTTGTTTACAAACACTAGGTGGGAGGGAGAGGATTTTGATAGCACCTGTGATGCTGGTGAAGAGTGGTTTACACTAGCTAATGTTAGCTGGAAATTGATTTAAACAAAGAAGTGGAGCTAAGGGAAAGAAGTGAAAATGGACCAGACAGAAGAGTTCAAAACAAAACAAAATCTCTCCTAGAAATTCTGTCCTAGAACCATAGATCCAGTCCAAATTATGGTTCTGGAGCTATTTTTAGCCAAAGAAAAAGCAATGGGAATATCCAATTACATCATACTTTATTGCCTGCTCGTACTCATCCCCATATTCTTTAAACAGTTATTGGATAACTTTTGCACTGAA